AGATCAAGTACAAATTTTCTTGGCAAATAATTAATCTCCTCAAAATGTGGAAAAAGGATTTCAGGGGTATTTTTTTATAGTTCTTTCTCATTTTATGCTTATGTTTCAGGGTTATCAATGAGGAAAACGCGAAAAATGCATAATGGTGAAAACTTAAAAGATTAAAGCTTTATAACAGTGAAAGCAAAGAATCTACTATGAAATCAACATCATCAATGAAATTAGGGTTAAGAAGAAGAAGAACGGTTTGTGAGTATATTAGATAGAAGAAGAAGATATGAGTTACCCTCTTTTAGATTTTTAATTTTGCAGCTTCTTATTTTCTTTTTTCTTTTATTTGTATATGCACCATGCAATTGTGGCTTCATACTAACCAAAAGAATATTTTTTTTCTTTTCTTATTTATTTATTTTTATTATTTTTTTCTCCCACGAACATAATTACTAATATCCTTTTTATATCCAAAAAAATAATGATTTTCCTTTATATATGACTTTTATGATGTATCCTTTGTTCAGGGTTATCAATGAGGAAAACGCGAAAAATGCATAATGGTAAAAAATTAAAAGATCAAGGCTTTATAACAATGAAAGCAAACAATCTATTATGAAACCAAAGAAAAGAGTTCAACATTAATTAGTGGCATACATAGGCATTAATATCACTCTTTTTTTTAAATTTAAAATCTGAAGTTGATATAGGTGGGAAAAGAATTTATCATCTTCTAGTGGGAGACAATTGTATTAAATTTTTACTATTTTCTATTTGGGAATTGTTAACCCTCATTTTAAAAATCACAATCATCTAATGCTTTTTTCCGTATTTATCGAAAAACCAAAAGACTCAAAGAAAAGAGTTCAGCATTAATTAGTGGCAGACAGGTTCATTAATATCCCACTTTTTTTTTGAAATTTCGAAATTTGAAGTTGATATAGGTGGGAAAAGAATTTAATATCTTTTAGTGAGAGACAGCTGTATTAAAATTCCTCTATTTTTTTTTTTGGAGTTACCCAACCCTAATTATCTCTTTGAGACGAGTTGGCTCCCTCCGGTATCCCCCACGAGCTTCGACTCTTTGAGCCGGCTATGGGACTAATCCGGAGTGCGGGAAAATTCCTCTATTTTTTTAACATAAACGTTTTAAATACATATGTATAACCTATATTAAAAAATATAAAAATTATAAATTAAAAGAGAAAAACATTAAAATTTTCAAAAGTATGTCTAATTAATACAAAAATATTTGATTATAATAAATGCAATTCAATTCAATTCACCAAACATTCGATTTAGTAGAATATTTTTTGTATCAACTCATATTTGTTCATTATATTTGTGTTACAAATATAAAAAAATATGCGCAATGAAAATAAAAGATTTTAAACAAAAAATAAAAAATGGCAACTATAAAAAATATAGATATATAGTAATTTAGATGTAACTATGAGAACAATTTTGTGCGGATAAATATAAAAACATATTATATGCTGATATAAAATGTTGACATTTAAATGTGACAAACTAGGCTCGGCCCGGAGGGCCAGCTCACCAACTAATTTTTATAATTAAATTAAAATTTCGTCATTCTTCTTTTATAAATAAATTTCTAAATCTGATTTCAATTTTTGTAAATATAAATTTGTAAAATTCAAAATACTAATGATACAAATCCTTGAAAAAAATAAATATTTACATAAAATGTTGATAGTTAAATGTTGCAAATTGAGCTTGGCCCAGAGGGCCTACAACGACACAAATCCTTGCAAAAAATAATTATTTATTATTATTCTTTAAATCTGATTGTAATAAATGAAATTCCATCTCTAAGATAAAATATAAAAACCTAAATGTGACTATAAGAACTTTTTTTGTGGATAAATATAAAAATCTATTGCATGCTGATAGTTAGAGGTGACAAACTGGGCTCGGCCCGAAGGGCCGGCCCACCAACGCATTTTTATAATTAAATTAAAATTTCATCATTCTTCTTTTATAATTGAATTCCTAACTCTGATTTTGATTTTTGTAAATACAAATTTGTAAAATTTCATCATTCTTCTTTTATAATTAAATTCCTAAATCTGCATACCAAAAAAAAAAATTTCCTAAATTTGATTTTAATATTTGTAAATACAAATTTGTAAAATTCAAAATACTAACGACACAAATCCTTGCAAAAAAATAATTATTTACATAAAGGTTGCAAACCGGTGACCCAGAGGGCCTGATCGCCCCCTGCCAACACATTTTAATAATTAAATTAAAATTCTACTATTCTTCTTTTATAATTAAATTCCTAATTCAGATTATTTTGTGGATAAATATAAAACCTTATTACATGCTAATAGTTAGAGGTGGCAAAATTTATCATTGTATGTTGTTGTTTTTTAAAAATTTATCATTGTGGGTTCTTTATATTACAAGTTTTTAGCATGTGTATTGATTTGATGTTGTTTAGACACATTTGTTCCAGTGTAAGCAAAAAATATGACTCATACATGACTATTTGGTTAACATATTAGCGTAATTTATTTAATGAGCATTTGCATTTTGTATCGTAGGTATAAATATGGTGGTTGAAGAGGATGTCCCTAGTAATGCATAAACATAGGAAATCACATGTTTGGTATGTGTTGAACTCATCCCTCCAATGATTGTTACAGAATGACACTAAATTAATAGCGTTTTCTTATTATAGGTACAAGCTGATCTTTTAATTCGATATTTGCTTGGTCTGTTTGTTACCTTGATTTTATTGGTGGCTGTTATAATTAGCAATAAGTTGTATACATTTTTCTTTTTTTAGCCATCCTCATTTTAACATAGTCTACTATGACGTATTTATTTTTTTCATAACTCATCGAGTAGATAACTATATTTGATTTGTATAATATCGATCACTCTGGATAACAGATTTTTGTTTATGGTTGATATTTGCAAAGTTCTGTGTCAATGCTGTATTTTTTTCCACCTGAAATATAGAACAAGATAGTAACACAGATTTTTGTAAGTATAAAATTTGCAATGTACCAACCACGACAAACAACAAATATTTTAATCTTTTTTCTGCATGTATCGTGAGAGTAATAGACTAGTTTAGTAGGGTACTAGGGCCGAAACAATTATTGCTCTCTTTCACTCGTAATTGAAGCATCTTTTCCACCTAGAAATACTCTCTTTATAGTCATTGAAGGGACATCTTGAATACATTGATTTATGAACTCTTTACTCTGCTAAAATATCTACGGAGCTACCATGTCCTAAGCACCGCCTCCTTCTATTAGCCTAAGAATATTCATTGTGACTCTCACCATAAAACTTTGATACATACCATTACCACGGCCTCTTTGAACAGTGTTTCATCAAGATACTTCACCCCAAAACATGGCTAATCTGACTATCTCACCATCAAAACGTTCTCTTATTTATTTATACTTTTTGTTTCTCTCGATTTGTCTTTGTCATTAGTACATAGAGAGATTCCATTTTCCTTGGGCTACTTAGAAACAGAACCTGTGTAGGAGAAGACAATGCACTTATCCACAGCCATAAGCCATGTACAGCTGCAACCAAGATGAGGCTCTTTCACATGCTGAAGGTTTTGTACTTATTGGATACAAGGGGCCCATTTCTTTCAACCTTGTACTGCTGCCTTACCTAACCCATGTGACTTGTTTTGCATGAGTCAGTGTCCCACAAGCCATGATGAGGCCAACTAAATGCCATTTTTTAAAAATTACAGCGAGAAAACTAAGTATGGCTTCGGTAAAATGTAAGATGCACAAAAAAATTGTAGAGTCGTATGGTTTAATGCCTTGCCAAACAAAATGGATCTAAGAGGCTGTTTGGTATGGAGGAATTTGTTGGATGTCCTGGAAAATGAAAGCTGGAATGGTTTATTTCCACGTTTGGTAGAAGAAAAACGAAAATTTTTTCCGGGTACCGTTTATTCCCTGGCATCCATTTAACACTAGCAACAACAGATTATGATTCCCATTTAATCGGTGGGTATTATGAGTTCCCATGATTTGGTTTGCACACGTTGAATTTGGCAGACAAAATTACCCTCGAACTTCGCTAAAACTTCACGAGTTATGGAACTTCGCTAAAACTTGACATATAGCAAAATCATCCAATAATCATGATGCTGAAACATAAGGCGTTGTTATGATTGCAAATGCATTTAAATGTATGCTTTCCATATACTGTGAATTGGCACTCGAACGTTAGGTCACCAACGATGCAACAGGTCTATCTTTGCATTTTGTTTTGTTATTTTTTCAGTTAATCTTTTTTTTATAAGTTATTCTTGAGGAGGGTATTTTTGTCAAATTTTATCATATTCCCAACAATATTTTGTTTTCAACCAAACACTCATTCACCAAAATTAACCAATATTCCCGGTAATATTTTGTCATACCAAACATCATTTTTGTAAAATTCTCAGACATTTTTTGTTCCACCTACATACCCAGTAATCGTGATTCCAGGATAAAAAAAAATTTGTCCAGTACCAAACGCCCCCTAAAAGTTTTTATATATCTTGGAATCATATCTCCTGCTTAGTTATTTGAAAATAATTAAAATAAAAGGTTCTGCATACCAAACTCTGGTTAATTGAAACAACCATGTAATAAAAAGGATACCGGTTTGATGACCTTATCATTTGAAAATTTTATATCTTTCTCTTTATAAATTAATCACAAATTTTGGTAAAAACCCCACCTATTTAATGGTGAGAGAAGAAATATAAATAAAATTTCACGAGCCAAGGTTATGTAAAATTTTAGCATAGGAAAATTCATTCTCACCATTAACTATCATTTGAGATTCACATGACAATTGGATCATCATAGCATGTTCCATGTGGGATGCTACGAATCTTGGGACAAATAAAAGATAAGATCAGAATATGGAATCAACAGAGGGGTATTCTGCTTGATGACACCACTGAGCCTAATGGGAATCTCTCACCTACAGCTGGCGGTCCAATTCGTGTTGATTGCAAAGAGTCCAAGTTTTGAACAAAATTTATCTGTTCAGTCTCTGGGATTGAGAATATCATAGCATTCGAATTCCAAAACAACTGCACCCTCTGAAGTACTTGGAAATACATGGCAAGTATATGCATAACAATAACTTTAGTAAGCTACAAATAAAAAAAAATTGATACAACAATCCAGCTCCTGTATCTTTCCTCTCAGGGAATAGACCAGTGCAGAAATAAATAAAAGGTTACAATAAAAGTCATCAATTCTTGTGAATTGGTGAATATAAACAACAACCAAGCTAAATTCATAAAATCCAAACCAATGCCAAAAATTCAGATCCTCTCTAACTAGAGAAGCCTAAGGTGCGATGTATCATTCAGCCTTTTTATCTGCCAACCAGTTCTCAAAGAATGCTGCAACACTGTCACTGAAGAGTCTTCTATGCAAAACTTATGTGACATCAAAGGGCTGCATCCAAGAAGGCCAGTCAGGAGACACTTAATTGGCACAGAATGAGTAAATAGTCCTATACAAGAAACAGATGGTGAAAAGCTGCTAAAACTAGAACTATGCAGAGAACTTTGGTGGTTTATGTTGCTAGAAGGCGTTTCCTCTTCAACCTCATCTCCAGTGGTTGTCACAAATTGTAGCCTGCTCTTACCAGATTTTTTCCTAGAGAATGCAGGTCGATGCCTGTTGAGAGAATCCCATTGGTTTTGATGGAGAGAAGGTCCATCTTGGTCGTGAATTGAGTTTGTCAAAGCATGGGAATTGTGCTGGGTAAATGCTTGGTTGTCATTTTGATGTGATGACAAATCTAATCTCAACTTTTCGGGTAATCCCAGGACAGTCCCGTTTAAGAACTGAATCATCCGGAATTCTACTTGTCTAAGTGATTCCCCGGAAGGTGCAGTGAAATCTGGCTGGAACCTGTCAATGAAGCTCTGAATTTCAGGTGTATATATTTCTGATCGAAGGCAGCCCTCCCAATTCCCTTGACTAATCTCTGCAAGTGCGTCTGAGGATTGAATTTGTTCCTCTGAAAAATTGACTTCCTGTCAATTGAAACCTTAAGAGAGTAAGATTTTGAGCACAAGATACTCGAATATAATTACTCCTATTCTTATCGGCAGGGATCCAACCATCAGAAGTGAAATTTTTAATACACATTAATACACACGAAGTTCAATGTAAAATAATCATTTTATACAAATAAAAACAGAGAGCAAGCCTTGGCGAAGTGGGAAGGCTGCTCCTTGTGACCAGAAGGTCACCTTTGCAAAAATGTAAAGGTAAGACTACGTACAATTGACCCTCTCCCCTACGGGTTTGCCCTTTATCCTTTATACAAATAAAAACATTCTTCTAGCTTATGTACCGAAAAGAAACATACTTCTAGCTTTATCTATACCATAATACTTCCATCTTTTTATGTCCTTTAAACTAGCAGGTCTGACACCATTATTATAGAGTAGGAGAAGATGCTACTCTGCCAAATTCGCTTCACATCATTTACAACAGATTCAGCTAAACTAATGTCGAGTTTATTTGGTTCATGCCTTCCAGCCATTCAATACCCTCAACCACATCTTTCCGAACAAGATTTAGTGTCGAGCATCAAATTCGTAGCTACCATTGGAATTAAATAGTGTCCTGCTTTTCCATCCAGATTTGATTATATGGAGAATAACTTCTATAATTTTTGTTCATAAATGTCAGCATTCAATATGAGGCAACAGTGATAGTCAGCTGTGGCATCTTTAGCTTCTTTCCGCTCAATGATAATTAATTCCATCAATTTCATCTTTCAAGGACCAATTTGATGGCAAAAAATGGGACACTGAAGGACCAATTAAACGTTGTCTACATCTTTGGAGGACCAACTTGATGTATTTATGATTGGAGGACCAATATGATGTTGCACATATCTAGGTATAGTGAGGCCGGTTTTTAGAGATAAGGTGTTTGGTTAGCTGGTTCTAGTCTGAACTAAATTTGAGATAAAACCAGTTCTTAAAAAGTCCAATTCGAACTTCTTCTTTTTCATCCAAAATTTCCCATACTCTCTTCCTTTTCATTCTCTCTTTCTCTCTCCATCAGCTAGATTCAAACAGCCCCCTTAGTGTTTTTATCACAAAATCAAAAGGCAATAAATGAATTTCATAAGCATCTCGCATCATTTCCAGCTTATTGTCCCTTTAAGCATCACATGTTCAGCATCAATATTATTATTGACACATTCAGTCAACATACGGAAGACAAGATGTTCTCTCCTACTTTCTATTATGTTTTACATCTCAGATTTGCTCTATCACATCATCAACTAGTTATAAACTGAATACAAAATTAGATAAATAGATCATGTAAATAAAAAAATTTGAAGGAAATTTTGAATTGTTAGAGAATGCCAATTTTTTCTTATCAGTTTTTCCAGTTCTAGTTTTGTCCCCTGCTCACTGAGCAGTTAAGTTACAAAAAATTCCAAACACTAAAAACAGACAAGAGATTTGTGCTAAATTTCATGCTAAAGGGGAAATTATATGTAGCGAATATCAATTTGATAAATGTTAAGAGGTGAAAACCACAAGCTGCGGTGAGAGGAACATACTAGACAGAATAACAATCAAAACCAGCACTGACAGAAAGCACAGTCTAGCCATTATCCCAATTGAAAACATATGGCATTCCTGACATGTAACCATCAATAAGATGTAAATTCAGCATAAGATGTTCTAAGAAAGTAAGACAACAAGAAAGCATACTCAATTTTCAGGTAAGAAATGATCAAAGAATGGATATAAGCTAAGTTGCTATCCACATTTATGATCAGTCAAGGAACCAGATAATTTTTTCCCATCTCAACTATACTCATATTTGTAAATCCAACCATTTCCTCATCCATAACTTCCACCATTCGAATTCACCCGTTTAGGAGAAAATCTTCAATACTCATATAGTAAATACTTCATCCACTAAAACTAGAAATATGCGTACTCATATGCCATTAGCGGAGTAAATGCATTTAGGTGAGTCATGTTTTTCTAATTTTAGTGGCTGTAAGCACTCAACCCTGAGGCATGACATAATTCAACTTCCACAAACAAAGCATATATACCTTAATTGCTTCAATTACAAAACGGGAATGGATCATGTCATGTGTAATTTAACATGATCAAGTCATATGAGACAATTTCAACCATTCACTCATCACATCAATAATTAAGATTGTCTTACATCATATAATCATGTTAAATAACACATGAGAAGATCAAATCCTCTATTAAACACCCAATTGAGCAAATTCAAATTGAGAAAACAACCTTACAAACTGATATTGCAGTTAACCGCGCCCTATCCACCGGCGACGAATACACAGCACCAAACCGAACCCCCTGAGACTTCAAAAACACGGCCAAAGCCCTCGCCTGCCGCTTCCCGTTCGCCGTTAACGCCGCGGAAGGGCACCGGCCTCCAACCAAATCCGGCGCCAAATTCAATTCACACTCCCCGTGGCTGATCAGGAAAACCTCCGTAACCTCATCATCCACCATCCCATTCGCAGAGAAGCTCCGCGAAAACACCGGCGGCGACAGCGGCGGCGGTGGAGCCAAGACATTGTAAGGGTCCCAGACCTTGATGGAAGGACCGAGCCGCGGCGTGCCCAGAGAAGAAAGCTGCGGAGACAGCGGCGACGCCGATGCGTGACATGGCAGCATCTCTGGCTCTTGTTCTAGAACCTTCTTCACCATGTCATTGCCCAATTGGACCCTACCAATATGGCCGTTGATGTTCCTTTCTTCTTCTTCTTCTTCTTGGTCCTCTTCCTCGTCGCTATCTTCCACCACTTGCACTGAGTGGTTCACACCCATTTTGGATTATTCACTGCGCGGCCTGAAACGACGTCGCGGATCCTTTAAAGATGCAAACTTTATTGCTCAGATTCGAAGTGCAACGCATATCAGAATCTGGGTTTCATCAGAAATAGAAAGATGGGGATCTGCAATATGGTGAAAATTCAGTTATGGGTATTTTTTTATTTTTTTTTGGGATGAAGTTCGAAGATCGTTGTGGGTTTTGAAAAGGGGCTAAGTAGATCTCTGTGTGCCTTTTTCAAAGGTCATTGCTTGTGAATTTTCATCGTGTTGGGACTTAACCAGCAATTACCTGAGCTAAAATGTACCGAATAAGATGAATCTGTACGAGTATATATATGGTGTGAACGAAGATGGAGATGAAGACCAAGCTCGGGAGTCACAAGGTACGCAACAAGGGGGTGTGGATTTTAAAAGAATTTTCTCAGGTAAAAAATCTTATTGATTTTAAAAAATCATTTAGAATTGGAGAAATTTTTTTAAAAAAAATTAGAATTAAGATTTTATAAGATTAAATTTTAAAAATTTTTATTAAAACTTATAAGATTTGAAAGAATAATATAAATTTATAAGATTTTTAAAAAGGGGAAGGATATTATAACAATCAAGTTGTGTTACTAGCATGTTACTACTAATCAATCTCACCGTTAGACCGGTTATGTTTATCCAACGGTTATATTTATTTTCATCTTTGTATGGTCATGATTTCTCAAATTTAATACTTTATATTTATTTCTACCTTTGTATGGTTATGATTTCCCATATCTAATGCTTTCGCTTTAAATATGGGGAATCATAACCATACAAAGATGGAAATAAATATAATCGTTTGATTCACATAATCGATCTAACGGTTAGATTGATTGATAGTAACATGGTAGTAACACAACTTGGTTGTTACAATATCCTTAGGGATCAATCAATCTCACCGTTAGACCGGTTATGTTGATCCAACGGTTATATTTATTTTCATCTTTGTATGGTCATAATTTCTCAAATTTAATACTTTATATTTATTTCCACCTTTGTATGGTTATGATTTCCCATATCTAATGCTTTCACTTTAAATATGGGGAATCATAACCATACAAAGATGGAAATAAATATAACCGTTTGATCAACATAATCGATCTAACGGTTAGATTGATTGATAGTAACATGGTAGTAACACAACTTGGTTGTTACAATATCCTTAGGGACCAATCAATCTCACCGTTAGACCGGTTATGTTGATCCAACGGTTATATTTATTTTCATCTTTGTATGGTCATGATTTCCCAAATTTAATAATTTATATTTATTTCCACCTTTGTATGGTTATGATTTCTCATATCTAATGCTTTCACTTTAAATATGGGGAATCATAACCAAACAAAGATGAAAATAAATATAACCGTTTGATCAACATAATCGATCTAACGGTTAGATTGATTGGTAGTAACATGGTAGTAACACAACTTGGTTGTTACAATATCCTTAGGGACCAATCAATCTCACCGTTAGACCGGTTATGTTGATCCAACGGTTATATTTATTTTCATCTTTGTATGGTCATGATTTCCCAAATTTAATACTTTATATTTATTTCCACCTTTGTATGGTTATGATTTCCCATATCTAATGCTTTCACTTTAAATATGGGGAATCATAATCATACAAAGATGGAAATAAATATAACCGTTTGATCAACATAATCGATCTAACGGTTAGATTGATTGGTAGTAACATGGTAGTAACACAACTTGGTTGTTACAATATTCTTCCCCTTTAAAAAAATATACATTTTTAAAAACATTCAAAATTATACGAGTCAATAAAAATAATAATAAAGAAATGTAATGATATTAATAAAAAAATAAAACCTAATATATTTTTCTTAATCAATAAAACATAGTATAATTTTTAACAAATATTCAAAATTACTATGCAACAATTCTCCATGTATCTAAAGCTATACTAATCCAATCCTACATTGTAACACCTCGTGTATACCCGGTTGTTAACATGTCATCGTATTAAGCCACGCTTAATTAAAAATGCGGAATATCTTTTTCTTTTCAATTATGACGTCATTATCAATTACCAAGTTGATTACTTAATCACTTTCACCAAACATTGCCTGTATGTAGGGGTGTTCATCAACCGACCCAAACCGATTCAAACCGCGGTGACCGAACCGAAAAACCGATAACTGAATAAACCAAAAACCAAAAAATCGAAAACCGAAAAAAAAAACCATAATTTTAATTGGATTGGATCGATTTTCGGATGGTTTGATGAAAACCAATCCAATCCAAACCGATCCAATATATTAATTTTCATATACCTACTTGGATTTTTCCCAATCATAGCCCAAAGATTTCTAAATCCAAGACCTATTAACTAATCAACTACACCTAAGAAAAAACCTAATCACATCTCATCAACAAAATTTCTTCTGTGTAGATCTTCATATCCCATTGCCAAAAAAAAAAACTATATTATCGTTTAGTGATGCTTTTGTATTTCAAATTTTTTTTTACAAAGCCAATATATACAAAAGATGTTATTTGCACAATAATCATGAAACAAATTTTAGGATTTTCAAAAAACCGAAAACCGATCCAATCCAAACCGAAAAAAATTGAATTGGATCGGATCGAATTTGAAAAAAATCCAAACAGGATGGATGATTAAATGATCAAACCGAAGGTATTGGATCGGATGATTTTTGCTTCCAAAACCGATCCAATCCAAACCGCGAACACCCCTACCTGTATGTAAATTGCAAATAGACAGTTAACTGAATTACCTCAATACATAAATATATGTGAGTATCTAAGTCACGGAACTACAATACGTAGCCCAGACATAATCCTGAAACAATTATACAACTCGAATCTAAAAGCATAAAGTCAAGTCAATGTGGCATGGACAATCCTCATGCTCACCAAATAAGGCAACATAGCCAACAGAGTCTCCACACAATAATCCATAAGATGAAGCTAAACAAATAATAGCAACAGACATAATCCAGCATCCAAGCATAATCAGCATAAGCAGATAAACATCAATCAACTAAGCTTCGGCCTCCTGCCGCCCGAGGTCTCAACCCTCGAGTTACCTGAACCTGAAAATGGTGCCCTTAACGTGGGGTGAGATCTCTAAACAGAAATCTCAGTAAGACAAGGGGTCCTCAAGGATTTCTCCACCCCAAGCTCACTTACATGTGCAATATAAGTTCTAAAAGCAGTTTAACAGTATAAGTTTTAAAACCAGTGCAATGCAGCAGATAATCATGTCATGTGTGTTATAACTAATCTATTAGCCAGAAAGATGCAGAAATACGTCTATTACCCACACAGTACGCGCCCATGTTGTACCTGCCCACAGGATCACATCTCGTCTAGGCGAACACCACATACATATCATAAGGCATTTGCACTTAACAGCTCAATAGCATTTCAATAAAACAATACATGAAAACAAATCATGCATATAAACTATCCCCCATGGGATATGGTGGAACTAACAATGGCTAAACCGAGGCCACACAAGCTCAAAGTCCACAAACAGCAAGATCACATTCTGTTTTAGACCAACAATCATATCAATATTTACACTCTATAAGCATGAGACATAAAGACAACGTCTTTCCTTTACGTTTCATGTCTTTAGGCTTCTCACAAAGCCATAAGCCCTTAATCACTTTGATTCTGACTTAGTTTAGTTATTACAGAAGTCCACATTGGCCAATCATGGATCCACAACCCAAAATGCCATTCTGTATTAACAGTACCGTTACTGTTCTCGGAAACCGAGAATATCCGGATATATGTCGGGGCCATATCCGGATATCCATATTCGGATATCACAAGACCCCATATCCGGATATCTATATCCGGATATCATATCCGTATATTTCGCAACAGAATGCAGTTTCTGCATTTCGCGAGATATCTCTCCAATGGTTCAACTTTTAACCCATAAGAACGTCCAAGCATGCATCTTTACACTCTTTTAAGTTCATAAACTGGTTGGTTACTTAAACAACTCATTAAACATGCCAAGACTCCATTTTTAACCATTAAAACTCGTGATCAAGGTTGGTGAAGCTTACCACACTTCAAAACAGAGAAAGGATGCTCATGGAGCTCTCTAAAACAGCCTCTATGTTCTGACTTCTTACAGTGCACGAAAATGTGCTCAAAGGTTGGTCCTTTCTCTCTAACAATCACTCCTTGTAGCTCAAGAAGCTAGGACAAAGGCTCTCTCAACCCAACCAAGAAGTCAGCACCAAGACTTCACCAAGTCAGTGGCCACAACCCAGAAACAAGGTCAACACTCACCCTCAATGGTAACCTTCACTCACACCAAGTGTTTAGGAGAAGATTTCATGAAGGAATGGCCTCTTGGCTCATGAAATGGAGAAGGGAAGACAATGGAACAGTAGGAGGGAGCTGATCAGCCACCAAGTCACGTAGGAATAGAATAATACCTAGGGTTTTGAGCCAAAGGTTGTATTTATAGTCGGTTTAAGCTAAATCGCACTGTATTAGAGCTAATTGCTATGCTTAGCATTTTAATCCCAAACTTAGGATTCCCGAGTCTTCGACAATCCCACCACGAAGTCCATGGAAATGCTATCCCATTTCCATTCTGGAATCTCAAGAGGTTGAAGTTTACCAGACGGCTTCTGGTGTTCAATCTTCACCTTCTGGCAAACCAAGCACTTGGACACATAAACAACAATGTCCTTCTTCAAGCCCGGCCACCAGTAATTCCTCTTCAGGTCCTGGTACATCTTTGTAGCATCAGAGTGGACAGTAAACTGGCCCTTATGAGCCTCTGTCATCACCTCAACAGTCAAAGGACCTCGAGGAACCACAATCCTCTTATGGAAAGTCAACAGACCATCCTCATTCCAAGACACACTGTCCTGGTTCTTCACATAATCTAGGAACTCTCTCTGAACTTGCGCCTCTTTGATCTTCTCCATGAGCTCATTTTCAACTTGCACGGTTTCCATTTCGAGAAGTGCACCCCCAAACAAAGAGGTCACCGTCAGATCTCGAAACTGCTAAATAATATCATAGTCACCCATGGTCAAACTGGATAGACTCACAGATTTCTGACTCAAAGCATCAGCTACCACATTGGCCTTGCCAGGATGGTACTTCAACTCAAAGTCATAGTCCTTCAGATACTCCATCCATCTCCTCTGTCTCATGTTCAGCTCCTTCTGATAGAACATGTACTTCAAACTCTTGCGATCACTGAACACAACAAACTTCATGCCAAACAGATGATGCCTCCAAATCTTGAAAGCAAACACAATAGCAGCCAACTCCAAATCATGAGTCGGGTAGTTCTCCTCATGA